TGCCCTTGCTGCCTCCTCTGGACCTCGCTCCTCTGCTCTCTAGCATGCATGTATGATGGAAGAGCTTTAGGGGTGAGGAGAATTCTGGCTTTGGCTTAGGCTTGTGTTTAGCTCTGTCCATCTTGAGATCTCAGTCGAGCTTCACGTCCTGTCCTTCAACATCTTGTCAGCTTCAACATCTTGTCAGTGAATAAGCTGGCTGGCCATGTCAGAGGGCCTTGCCAAGACCTTTCCTGCACCAACCAACTGTATGTTGCTGCTGAATGCCAGGCACAAGTCGGCGCCGGGATGTGGGTGTGGGTGTGGGTGCCAATGTCCCAGAGCTCATGGGCTGGGGGAGGGGTTGGAGACAGATTGTTATGTGACCCATTAGTTCACTAGTGGCCCTGTATGTGTGTGTGGGGGGGGACATATTGTATTGGTTAAATAGGAGACTGAAATAAAGATTGTAGGGAATTAGCTTGGTTCCAGAGCATCCAACATGGAGGTGGGGTTCTAGAGCTATGGTTACTGTTTTTCTCTTTCCCTTCCCACTGGCTCTTCCCCAGGAGGATCCTGTTTTAGAGAACTTGCAGGAAAATGGATGGATAATACAAAGTTTCTCCTTGTATGGCGGGCTGTCAAAATCAATATCCTTTCTGTCCCCATGCTAGAATCCAGATGGCTGTGCCTGCCCCCAAAATGAGGGTTCCTCCTCTGTACATCATCTTTATAATAACAATTTTAAAAATTTGAGTTTGGGGCCAGTGGCTGACCTGTAATCCTAGCTACTCAGGAGGCTGAGATCTGAGGATCACAGTTTAAAGCCAGTTTGGGCAGGAAAGACTATGAAACTCTTAACTCCAATTAACCCTCAGAAAACTGGAAGTGGTGCTGTGGCTCCAAGTGGCAGTGCTCTAGCCTTGAGTGAAAAAGCTCAGGGACAGTGCCCAGGCCCTAAAACTGACAACAAAAAACAAAAAAACCTAAGAATGAGAGTCCCTCAATTCTAAGGGGTAGATAGAGTGAGCAGAGTATCTCTGATGGGCACCAGGTCTGAGCTGGCATAGGCAGGGAGCGCTAGGTAGAGTAGGCAGAGGTGGTTGTCTCTGATAGGCACCGTGCCTAAGCTGACCTGGGCAGGGCGTCGAGCCCTCAGGCCTCTTGGCTAGCCACCTTTCAGTCACTGCCTGCTTTGGGAGCCTTTGGTGACCTTAGCAATTGAGGTGGTGGTGCCTCCTCCACCTGAGGAGTAGCTGCCTGGCTACCCTAGGCCTTGACCTGCGGGAAGGGCAAAGCCCCTGGTGGCTCTCTCCCACACAGGCAGTCAGAGGCCTTGGCTGTGATCAGTTTCCAGGGAATCATGGTCAGTGAGTCTTCACTCGGGCCATGGCATTTGTTGAAAACTGCTGTGTGTCAGGATCTGTGAACACAGCTTCCTGTGTTTAGGTCCCAGGGCTTGGGTCCATGGTGTCAACATCCAGCACCCTTCCTTTCAGCCTGTGCACCTCTTTCCCTTCATCCCAGGACACCTGTCTCTTCTCTGCAGCACCATATTTATCTAGGACTGATCTTTGCAGTTTCAGCTGAAATGCCTCTTCTAAAGAAGCCTGGCCTGAAGCTAGGCATTCAAGAGGCTGATACCTGGAGGATCATGTTCAAGGCCTGCCTGGCAGGAAAATCCCTGAGTCTCCATCCCCAGTTCAGTAGGAAGCATGGTTCAAGTGGTAGAGCACCAGCCATAGCACTTGAGTAAAATCCCTGGACCTGGGGGAGGGGTGGCTAGGAGGGGGAGCTGGCCAGCTCCAAGGAAGGCCCCTAGGTAGGAGGGTTTCTGGGCCTCACAGCCCTCTTGTCAGCTTCAGAACCCTGGGCCCAGTTACATGATAATGCATTTGTGTGCTTCAGCCCTTGTGTGTTTCCCCGCAGAGCCAAGATGTTCTGTGTGGGATGGAACCTTGCCTGGCTTGCTCACCTTGCTGAGGGAAGGCTAGGTACAGGAAAGCCATGCCAGACAAGTCAGGTTCCTGTCTTCCAGAGGCTACTGTCTGCTAAGGATGCCTGTGAGGCACCCCATGGGGGCACCCTAGCAGTGTAGGGGTGGCCACCCTTGTCCTGGGACTGGAGGACTAGCTAGTTTAACAGGAGAACTCAAAAACAGTGCCCTAGGTAGTACTATCTGGAGGAAGGAGATGTAGGAATGTGATTGGGAAGCCTGGCAACAGTATTTACAGCAGGAAGTGGAACGAATGATGTTGAATTTGGATGGTCCCAGATGAAAGACCTAAAGATGATCTGAGCCTCAGGCCTTCTGCCAGTCCAGGAAAGGAGGCCATCTGACTAGACGAGAGGGTCAAAGGGGACCCTGGGGGCCAGAAAGCTGGCTCCAGTCCCAAAGGCCAGGGGTGACTGCTGGAAGAGATTCCTGGCAGAGCAGGACCTGCCTGTGGCCCTGTCTTCTGGCTCCAGCCTCCTAGGCAGGAAAGGGCTACTGCTTCAAGTCTGGAAGGAGTGGAGGCAGGCAAAGGCCAAGCCGAATCTGAGAATCCTGCTCATTCTGCCTTCCCTTCAAGGTGTCACCTCTCCCATTGGACAGCTGACATATTGGGCCTTGTGGGAGGTCTTGGCTTAGGGGATACCGTCCCTGATCTGCATGAGGGCCAGGGCAGATAGTCATGATAAGAATGGGGTCTTTTCCCTGCATAGTACTAGATAGAGATTGAATCCAGGGTCCTGAACAGCTAGATAGCATTCTAACATTGAGCTATACCTCCATTTTCACCCTGCTTTAAATTTTTTTTTTTTTTTTACTTTGAAGCTGGCACCAGTGGCTCTCACCTATAATTCTAGCTACTCAGAAAGCTAGAATTAGCTGATCTGAGGATCATGATTTAGAGCTGGGCAGAAAAATCTGTGAGACTCATTTGTTTGTTTTGTCGGTCATAGGGCTTGAACTCTGGGCTTGGGCGCTCGCTGTAGCTCAGCTCTTCAGCTCAAGGCTAGTGTTCTGCCACTTAAGCCACAGCGCCACTTCTGGCTTTTTCTGTTTATGTGGTACTGAGGAATCGGACCCAGGGCTTCATGCATGCAAGGCAAGCGCTCTACCATTAAGCCACATTCCCAGCCCTCCGTGAGACTCTTGATTTCCAGTTAACCAGCAAAAGAGCCACAAGTGCAGGTATGGCTCAAGTGGTAAGCAACAGCCTTGAGTGAAAAAGCTAAGCAAGAGCATGAGGCTCTGAATTCAAGCTCCATTACTGGCCCACACAAAAAAATTGACTTTGATACATGGTCTTGGGATGCCTTTGAACTTGCTGTGTAGCCCAGGCAGGTGTCAGACTTCTCCTGCCTCAGCCGCCTAAGAAGTTGGCACTATGGTGTGTGATGGTTTCTTATTCCTGTTTTAGAGGAAAAGATGGTAAGGCACAGAGAGGTGAAAATCCTTGCCCCAGTTCACCTTCTTTTAAATAGCGGGTTGAGCCAGGCACTGGTGGCTCACGCCTGTAATCCTAGCTACTCAGTAGGATGAGATCTGAGGATCTCAGTTCAAAGCCAGATGGACAGGAATGTCCGTGAGACTCCAGTTAACCACCAGAAAACCGGAAATGGTGCTGTGGCTCAAGTGGTAAAGTGCTTGACCTGAAGAGCTGAGGGACAGTGCTCAGGCCCAGATATCAAGCCCCATGACAAGAAGAAGAAGAAAAAAAAAGACTGGGAATGTAGCCTAGCCTATTGAACCCATACCTGGGTTCAATTCCTCAGTACCCACATACACAGAAAAAGCCAGAAGTGGCATTGTGGCTCAAGTAGTAGAGGCTAGCCTTGAGTAAAAGAGCTTAGGAGCCCAGCACTGGTGGCTCACGCCTGTCATCCTAGCTACTCAGGAGGCTGAGATTTGAGGATCGCAGTTCAAAGCCAGCCCGGGCTGGAAAGTCCGTGAAACTCTTATCTCCAATAAACCACCAGAAAACCAGAAGTGGCGCTGTGGCTCAAGTAATAGAGTGCTAGCCTTGAGCTGAAGAGCTGAGGGACAGCACTCAGGCCCAGAATTCAAGTCCCACAAATGACCAAAAAAAATTTAAAAAGCCTAGGAACAGCACCCAGGCCCTGAGTTCAAGCCCCAGGACTGACCAGAGGGGGGGGTGGGGGAATAGGGGATTGAGACTTGGAGCTGGGACTGCCCACCTTCCATGCAGTTTCTGGTCTGTGGCATCACCTGCTCTCAGAGCTGCCCAACTGCAGACACACAGCACACTGTGACCTGCTCCATTCTTGCAGTCTGCAAGTTTCCTAGAAGCTCAGCACTGTTGGCACCCTCTGAGAGCCAGTGTGGTAGAATCCAAGAAACCAGGCTCCAACCCCGAGTACACAAAGTAGCCCTTTGCCTTGAGCATGCATTTCCTCACCTGTATGACAGCCTCAGTGTTTGTTGTGTACTGTCTGTGTCAGGCTCAAGACTGGAGGTGTTGCTCAAGTGGTAGAGAGGTAGTGGCTAATTGTTTTTTTTTTGTTGTTGTTTTTCTTTATTGGTCCGGTTGTGGGGCCTGAACTCTGGGCCTGGGCGCTGTCCCTCAGCTCTTCAGCTCAAGGCTAGCGCTCTACCACTTGAGCCACAGTGCCACTTCCG